TAGTATTATTGTGATAAAAGCATCGGGCGCTCAATATACGAAAAATATGGCACAAAGCACCCACGCTTTTATCACAATAATACAAGTATTTTTTGTTCATAATTACTTAAAACTTATTTTAAAAATTATTTTTAACTTTTTAGTTCGATGTACTTTAAAAGCGTGTTTTTTTAAACTATATTTATTTTTCACTTTTTAGTTTCATGTTATGATAGTAGTTACTATCAATATCATGGTTGCAACGGGTAACGGGAAATCAGGGTTCGATTCCCTGTTTTGTGGGCGGGCGGGTCGGACTAACGTTATACCTGTGGTATAAACGGCGGTAGGAGTATACAGGGTGTTAAGTAAGTTAGGTAACAGTTAAATTGTTACAAACAATGAGTACAATAGAAATTTGTTTCCTTATTTACTGAACACTCTGTATACGTAAGCCGTATGCACGCGGATGATAATGGTTAGTCAAAATAAAAATTTGTTTATATATATATATAATATTGATCACACGCACGTGTGTATGGGTATGATAACCAAAAATAAATTTATACAGGAATAGTATTGCCGGCGTGTAATGAGCGAAGCGTGGGGTGGGGTGAATGCGATATGACAGTCTAAGTCTAGACGACGGAATATGCGATAACGCGTGACGTTTGGAGAGTTAAAACATACATACATACAAACATATATACATACATACAAACATACATACATACATAAAAACATACATACATACAGGTGAAACTAATATAAGGGTGTTAAAAAAGAGATATAAATATTATTTCTTATAAAAAAATTGTGTTGATCTATACACTTTTCAATAAGTTATAGCATTATAAAGTTAAAAATATAAAAAATAAAATCGAGAATTTTCACACACAAAAATAGCATTTGGTAGTCATTTTCACCGTGAAGACAAAATAAAGTCCAAAATTATTTTTTTCCATAATAAAGTACATTATATTAACTTTATTTTAAGATATATATAAAAGTGTCAGACTTTCCGGAACACTTTCATAAGTTTAGTTGAAAAAGTTGTAATTTTAAATCCCTTCTTTGGGCAGTTAAAGGGTCAGATTTTTAATAAAAATATACCAAATGATAGGTAAAGACATCAAGCATCTATTAAAAAAAATTATACTGATTTGTTTATTTTTAACAAAGTTATGACAGTTTTAAGTAAAAAATATTGAAAAAATTATCGATTTTAAAATTTGTAATTTTTTTGGAGGTTTCCCCCATTTACGAAGAACGAGGGAAATTTTTTCAATTTTTGAGGGTAATTTCTTCGACTAGATACGATTTGTGATCTTTTGACGTACTTTTGAAAGAAATCGGTCCAGTGAGAGCTGAGAAAAAGTGGCAATAGACATAAAAAAAAAAAAAAAAACACATAGTAAAATTAATACCTTCTCAGCTTCGCATCGAAGCTAAAAATTTAATTTTACCAAAATTAATAATAATGAAATAAATATAGTTTTATTTTATAAATTTAATAGTTATATTCCATTATTGGAAGATAATGAATAATTTTTAAGATAGCAATTGATTAAAAAGATATTTTTACGAATTGTCGTTCTAAAATTTTCATCATTAATTTAACTAAAATTTATTGTAATTGCATGATGCTTTTTAATCTAGTAATTCATAATTCTTTTATATTAAATTTAATATTTCGTTTGAAAAGCTTTCTAACACATCTCAAAAACTATATCTTAAATAGATATTTTGGAGAATTAAAAAAAAAAAACGGTAACATAGTGGGTAAACATAAGCTTTAATTTAACATATGTATAAAGCTCTTAGTATATACGGAATATTTTTAAAAGTTATTTTGAATCAGAAAATAAATTACCTAAAGAATTTATAAAAGAAAATTGTTTTGATACATTTATTTTTAAATAAGTTATGATAATTTTAAGTAAAAAATGTCGAAATTTATCGATTTTAAAATTTGTAATTTTTTTGGAGGTTTCCCCCATTTACGAGGAACGAGGGAAATTTTTTCAATTTTTGAGGGTAATTTCTTCGACTAGATACGATTTGTAATCTTTTGAAGTAACGTTGAAAGAAATCGGTTTGTTGAGAGCTGAGAAAAAGTGGTATAACAAACACAAAAAAAAGAAAAACATATCATAGTAAAACCTTCTCAGCTTTGCATCGAAGCTAAAACTAAAATTTGAAATTAAAAAATCCTTAATTAACTAATGTTTAAAATTTTATGAGATTTATCTATTGAATAATATAATATTAAAACTTTTTTTTTAAACTTTTTAAAGCATAAAAAAAATAATTATAAAAAACATCAGGCCTCCTTTTGTATGACGTCGACTACATGCTTAATGTGTTTTTGGTTGGAAAAATTGTTTATTGTTAATATATTAAATTCAAATATTTATGAAACATTTTTAGCAAATTCATTTTTAAATTTGATTTTCTTCATTGGTTTAACATTAAAAAAATGGTTATCGTAAAGAATTTTTAATTGTTAAATTGTTAATAAAAATATTTATTTCCCAAAAATTTCTTTTATAAATTATTTCTTTTTATTAATAATTATTACTTATTATTGAAATTTGTGTTTGTAAAGAGAAGATAATTTTTTTATTATAAAAATATATTTTAAATTTAATTAACTAATTTTTATAGATATATGTCTAAATTGAACATTTTATAAGCTAGTTTTTATGATAATAATGAAAATAGTGTTTATCATATAATTTAGAGTTTAACCATAGTTAAATAAGTACACCCTTTTACACCTTTTCCAAAATCTGACCTTTCCATAAAAACATAATAACAATATACAACCCTGAAAATCAATTTTAGTTGCTGTTGTCACCAAATAAATCTGGCAACTTGGTTTGAGTGTAAGTGTACTCCGTATTATATTGTGGGTCAACTTTTATTTATGTTTAATACTACACACTTTAGCTGTTATTCCAGAGGCGATAAACCCAATAAAAGTAAAAACTATAAAATTTTCTTCGTCCAGTTAGGTAACCTAAATACATTAATGTCAATAGAAATTGTGAAAAGCCACTGGCATTTGGCGTACGAGCCGAAGGTATCTTTATTCTTTGTACAATCATTTCTTAGTAAAAATAATTTTCCACATTTTTAAAACAATCGCATAGCTCATCACTAACAACGTGGCTTGCGTAAAGAGCATTAAGAGTAACGGCTTTTGTTTTTCTTCTTAATACATGTTGTACTGCATTAAAAACGAACGACTTCGTTTTTTTAGTAGAAGGATTTTTTTACTTTAATTTTTCTGATGCTTTAAAAATGTTTGTGGCAAGTCTCTTTAATAACATTTTCTTTCAATATCACTGGTTACTTTCTTCTATGACTTCTGGCCCTGATTTTCATTTTGTCGACCATTTCAAACTTGTAAGATTTTTCCAAATATATTTAACTACTTCTGTAGTAATTTACCCTTAGGTCTTTTTTCACTCTAATACAATCTCGAAATATTTGTAGCTATTATCAGGTTTTTTTAAAATAAATTTTTCGTAAAATAAATCCTCTGGTCTTATTTATCATAATTATTAACGATAGTTAAACAAAAATATCTACATACAATTTTTTAAAATGCAAAACTCGCCACGTATTTTAGGAACATATACTTTTCCATAAAAAAATCCTCTAAAATACGAATATATTCAACGACATAATGATTATATAAATTAAATAACGCGGAAATATAAATGTTTATATGAAAAAATCAATAATATGATATTTAATAATTCATAACAAAAGATATTAAAACAATAATAACCTATGTAAAAAAGTTACAATAGATGAAAACTGTAATTACATGTATAACATATTACACGTAACTTGAAATTATATGAATTAAAAAATTGTCTTGTATTATATATATGTAAAATATATATTTTTTAGATAGTAGAAATATAAATTAAATTAAATTCTTTAAAAAACATAAAAGAGCAACAGAATATTTTAATTTCAATTAGTAACGAGAAAAGTCACCATGTTGACAAGGAGTATAAACAAAAGTAACATTAGTCGGAAAATAAAAAGGCAGCCACTGACATTACATCAACTTAAAATGAATAAACCGAACAAACATGACCAAAGGGTTGAAAAAAGTTGTCGTGTCTATGAATACTTTTTTTAGACGTTTATCTGATTCGTGTTTTCAAACGATGAATCGTCTTGGGTAAGTACGCGCAGGTATACAAGTGTAACCTATTTATTATTATAATTAGTATTTTCTCAAGTGTCTGCGATATTATGCAAAAACACACCCCAGGTGTTAACAGAATAGCGAACTAGGGTTAATGCTCATCACGGTAGAACTCTGGTAATATTCACTTTCAAATAGAAACTGTAACTAATTAACCGGAAAAGTTTCGAGATATTTTAACGATTTCAATAAATTAGAATAAAAATATTGCGACCACGATAAGAGAGGCACTTTCCAAACATTTCACTCGTCTTTTGTGTTGTACTGAAAATCATGGGTACAATTAAAAATAATGGTTCAATGACCATGTTCCAATAAAATAAATTCAAAACAATTTAGTTTGAACCGTTTTAAGTTTTGTTTAATAGCGATTCCGTGCGTTTCTTGATACAAGAAATGGAGGATCTAATTATTATTACTCACCCGTTTAATATATTCTGACGATAATTACTATAATAACTTGTTGACAGTATAAGTTATGATGTTCGGCTTTGTAGTAGCTATAACACATTACCATTATACTTGTATTTACATTCGTCCCCCGAACGTAGTCGGCACATAATTAATGCCTTTTAAACGCCATCGATTTGTACTTAAAAATGTTATAACAAAGGTATTACCGAGTTCCGCTCAATTATAGACGATTTGCGAGCGTCTTCTTTCTACTGTAGTGTAAGAAAGAACTGATACTTTAAAATAGTTCCACGATAAAAATAGGAAACGTCAAGGCCACTCAAAGCTCCGACCAGTCGAATCCGTCATTAGCTGTTAACGAGTATTTTATACTCACCAAGTGTACCCAGAACACTGGCAATGTCAACCCGTCAAATTTCCTCGCCCGGTTATTGCGTTCCTTTGTATTGACTACTAAATTCAGCTGAAGTCTCGTATTTATCATCAATGGAATACCAATGTCCTATAAAGCAAAACATAGTTGATTAATAATAGAATTTCATTGGAATTCTACTACATTTTAAGCCGATTACGAAATTAACGAATATTTGCACAGATTTCCAGTGCAAACTGTGCGGTTTAGTGTCGTTCAGCAAAGCAAACAGATGTCTTAAACGACACATTATTAAGTATTGTTATTGTGATTGGTGCAAATGGCTCGTTGGCACACGACAATCAAAGCCGTTCTTAATACTTTAAAGAAATTCACTGGGTTTTTAAATCAAGTGTTTTACAATAACGTGAAAGCTCCTCTATAGGAACTTTTGCGTGGATTTTCATATTTCGTCAAACTTAACGGACACTACCTCAAGCCTATTCAGCAGAGCACAGACAAAACCGTAATAAACGAACGCAAACGAGTGAGTAACAAAAGTTCTAATCAACCAGGCCGTGGAATCACGAGGAAATCATATCTATTAAAAATGTAATTACCGGTTGTATGGCCATCACGGATTCGTGTTTCTCCCGTTCGGGGGAAATGCCGTCTATTTTGCCCACTAAAGATGGATCTCCGTCATAGAAATGAGGAAACGAAACGGCTACCGGAATATCTGAAAAATAAAATAAACTACTTATGAAATTCTTTTTAATGTTACATTTGAATTGTTGATAAAAATGTATAAATAAATATTTAAATTAGCTATATTAGTTATATTAATAAGAAATGAAAAACATCGCATTGTAAAGATTTTCTAAAGTCATTTTTCGAAAATAATATTTTGGAATTACTATGTGTAATTAATTGAAAACCCAATTACATATATTTTAATTCTTAGATGAATTTATTGTTTTTATTGAATAATGGCTTAGCTAAAATGAAAATAATTTAGGTTAATACGCGTTTTACTAACTTTTTTTTTTTGTGTTCCTTTAAGTTCCCATAATTATGTAAAATTTATTTTATTAAGTATAAAATTATTTACATTTATTATATTTATCATCTTGTAATGATAATTAAAATTTTTTTCAAGATAGTATATCTAAACTCAAATTTTTATTCATGAATATTGATACTTTTAAATGATATATGGTTTTTTTATGGTACTTATATTAGATTTTGTTCGAAATTGTATATTAATTTTAATTATTATTTTTTATCCTAACATTTATGTAATGAATGTTACCCAATTTAATCATCGAGGGTTTCTATAATTTTCACTATTAATTTCGATGTGTTATTTATTTATACTTCAATTATCAGTCTTCTTTCAAGTATACTTTATTTCTCTTTAAAATATTCAAAGTTTCTTCGTATAATTATTATTTATACAAATAATCGACAAGCAAAGTCAATACATTAAAAGAAAACGGTAAATTTGAATTTACGATTATAATAAGAAATAATTTAGGCTTAATCATTAATACAAATTAGTAATCTAATTATTACCAGGTACTGGAACGAACCTAAAAAAAAACGATTCTTTATCCGGAACCTTTAAATTTTTAGAACTCGAACCGGAATAAGAATTTTTATTTTCAGATAGCCACGAACCAAAACCTAACCGAAACTATATTGTTATTGTTAAAAGAACCTGAACCGAAATAGTACCTTTAAATATTTTCTTAAAAACCCAAAACCCGAGCCTGAACCTATAAAATACATGGTTCCAGTCCCTGATTACTGCATACTAATTGAACAATTACGGGCAATTTTTTTTTTTTAATTGTGGAAAATTTAATAATTTTATTTGAATAATAAATTTTTAATTTTGTAAATAAAAATTTATCAATTAAAGTAACTAGTAATCTTTTTTTTTTTTCATTCTAAATTATTATTATATCATACATACTATAATAACATGGAGACAAGTCCGACAGACCGGCTGGCAAACACTCGCCATTTTTACAATAGCAACTATTGTTTTCCATACTGGAATTGAAAGCCTTATGTGAAAACTTATAATAATTCACCTCATACCCGTCATCTGTATCTCCAACCGAAGAGAATTCCAATAGTAATGTCCTGCAAAACGCTTTGCGATATAGCGGAAAATTCATATCTGGCGTTATATGCCTTGGGTATACAACTCCTTCTGTTGCCTTTTCCAAATTACAATGGTTTCTAAATGACAATCAAAAAACATTAAATACTACTTTCACCGATATTATAACAGTTGATAAAATCATCATATAAACCGAAAATTTGTTAATAAGACGTTAAATCATGATACTTGATCTATAATTCTGCTAATCGACGTCCATATTAATTTTTCATCGTCGATGCAAAATTATTAGGATAAACTTATCAAACTATCTTAGATGTATTCAACATCGATGGAATAAATGTCTTACGGTTCATCTGGATGTTTTTTATCTATCCACTGAGAAAGGTTTAGCGAACCGTTAAACTCATCAATAGTATAAGGACGTCTATTTTCATCATCAGATGGTAAATTCATAGTAACAACGTTTGTGCCTTCATTTAACATCTAAAGATCAATAGGTTAAACAATATCAATTAATTTTATTAACCCAGATGTAAAACATTACGCATATTATAGGTAATGGTTCCTCAAGTAATTACAGGAAGTAAAAACTGTTACTATTAAAAAAAAATATCATAAAAATAAGCGAAGGTTTTTGTATAGATAAAAATCTACATTTTAAAATTTTACAGGCTATAGTTTTCGTTGTAAAAGCTATAAAATTCATAGCACAACGATATTATTCTATTTTGGATGCTGCACACCAACACAACATAACGTACGTGAAAAACATGTGGTCCGACTAACTAAATTTACGATTTCAATATCGTCGTTGTACAAGTGGTGCAATAAATAAATAAAAATATATTTTTATAATTTATAGTCAGTTAACACCTTTGTAAACATGTGTATTGTATTGCTTATAATTGTATACAAATGAATTTAAAATTATTTCGAGCGTGTTACCATCTAATAGACACTATGTCTATTAGTTACAAGGACAAAAATAATAACAATATTGAATATAGGAAGTGTAAAAAAGGCAAAAACGGTTTTATGGTGTGTAGAAATGATAATATACAAAACAATATGATCATCGTGCGTGCGTTGTGTATATTTTTTACGATTAACATTTTACAGAAGTAACAGCGAATTAATAAAAACTAAACACTTCCCTGGTAAACTATTGTTTAATACTGGGTAGTGGACATATAAAATTTTATGACTACATTCATTTTTCATTTTATTCCAAATAAAACTCCACTTTTTAAGTTTTATTATTTTATTAAAAAATAACCAATGCGGCCAAATGAGATTCCGTGTAATAATTAACATGCTCGTTTTGTGTAAATAACCATCACAGATTTCCCTATAAATTGTAAGTCATTATGTGAAAAGGTATTTATAACGATCGATACAGTTGAAAAAAAAATTAAGCGCTCTAGAAAATTATGCATTATTTTAAAAATTGGCCATGGTTAATGCACGTTTTGCATGATAAACGTCACTCTTTAAGCGCTTTATTAAATCAGTAAAAATATTATAGTAACAAAAAAATACTTAAGAAAAATTATTTGACGGTTACTTGTTTTAAAATACGGCCCGACTGTATAATTTGATGCAAACCATTTCATGCAATACATGACTTTAAATTATAAATATTCTTTGCACGCTAAAAACTGTAATTAGCATATTATAAGCCCAAGCCTACACTTTACTCATTAATTACACTACTGCTATTGATCTTCCGTATTTCAGACGGTCCTTTGAATTTAAATGAAATGACCGTTTTGGTGTTTGTTTTTTAGAAAATTAAAACTGTACTTTAAAAATAGTATTTTTACAGATAAAGTTCTAATTAAACAATTTATTTTAAAAAAATTAAATTTAAATACTAATTGGACCTTAATTAGAAAAAATCAATAGGTTAAATTTATTAAAATATGTTTAAAATATTAATTTAATCTAAAATATAAAAAATATTTTAAAGTTATAGCTAGGGTTAACCAAAATAATTTCAGTTGTTGACAATTTTTCTTATATCTGGTAAATCAGTTAATCTATATCCAATTTTTTTTACATATCGAAAAAAACATTACAGATACCAAAATTATATGGGACCCGCTTTTTTAACTTAAATTCGACTTAAAATTTGACTTAAAAAAAGTTTAAGTTTTTTAATGTTTTTAAAGCGATTTCATAATACTTTTAATTTCTAAAATTATTGAACTTTTAAAAAAAATTCTATATATGCATAGGTGTGAAATGGTAAAATTATAGTGAGGAACTAAATTAAATTTTTAACTTCCAAAAAATAAGTATTATACAAAAACGTTTACTAAATTGTATACTGGGAGCTAAGTTCCCTAGGTAACTGACAATTAAAAGTAGCTATTTAAAGGTAATAAAATTTATAAATGTCAACTCACTCGTTCTAACATTCCGAATCTTGTAAAGTCTATCCAACTAGGCAACATTTTACTGGCCAGACTTACTAACTTATCATCATAACCCCATAGAAAGTCGTGTGCAGTTAAGTTTAATATTGGTTTTGAGTCCAAGTATTCGACTAATGATTCAAAAAACATGTTGACTACCATCGGCGAGTCCTTCAGAAGTGAAGAAAATCCCTATACAATTTAAAAAATAACGTAAATAAATGTTATGTTTAAACATTGAACATCAAGTTTTTTTTTAACATAATCTCAAGGAAACTATTATAAGTAATAAGCGTTTTATTAATTTTATTATAATCCATAACCAAAAGGTAGAAAAAATTGTATTTACTAAAACATAAATGTAAATTCGTATATTGACCACTGAATTATTTAAAAAATATTATTTAAAAATTTTTTTTTTTGTTTATTTATTTAGTATTTCTAAATTACACCTGTGCTTACAAAACTACTATATACGATAGAAAATCATTTATTAAAAAATCATTTTTCCTATAAAATAAACAAATGTATTATTACCAATAAGGGCAAATTAGGAACGAATAAGTGGTCTACTTCTGGATTACTTATTGACAATTCATGATCAAAATGCATTTTCCTTCTAGGTATATATGATATTGTACCGTTGTCGTTGAACGTTATGTTTTCATGAACCAACTCTTCCCTATCATTAAAAAAATATAAATTTAAAATACTGAAATATTTATAATTTATCAAGTGTAAAATTTAAGTGAATTTTTTAGCCGTATTATAGTATTGCGAAGTTAAAAAATATTCTGACTTAGTTTAAATTAGTTCCCGTAAACCTGACTTTTTTTTAAGTTAATTATAAAAATCATGAAATATTTAAAAGTATTCGGGAAATTGCGAGTAAAATTTTACAATCACATGTCATACTTGAAACTAAGAAAGTTTTGGAACTTTCTATGTTTGTATTAATTTATACTTAAATGAGCAAAGCAAACAGATGTNGAACTTTCTATGTTTGTATTAATTTATACTTAAATGTCAAATAAGAATAATACTCTAAAGCAATAATTTATATATTATTATTTGTTTATAATTTCATTTTAAATATTTTATATTTTATAATCTGAATTTTTATATACAGAATGTCGTTATCAAAACATTTTACCTATTTTTTTTAATTAAAAATATATATCATACTTTAGATCTTTAAATTCTATAATACAATACCAATTTTGATAATTTCTCATTATATTAAACAATATAATAGTAATATTTTCATATAACAAATAGTTTAACAGATTAAAAATGTCATCTTACTTATTATTATTCAATTCTAAAATAATTTAAAAAATAGATTACGCATTGTTTTACTTATAACTAGGATCTCTTAACCTAATATCAACTGAAATTGTAGACTTCCTATTAAAATAAATTCTTTTTGTCTTAAAAAATTAATAAGATACATAAAAAATAAGAATTTTAAATAAAAGTGTCTTTGAACTTTTATTTGCTAAAGGTGTTTAGATAAATGGCGTGGACGAGTGCCAAATAATCGATTTTCGGCGAGCTATTTGAAAAGGAAATAAAATTAGACGGTTTATCATAGGTTTGGACTTTTTAAACTTTTGGCCCACAAAATCACCAAACGCCAGCAAACAGCAGTTTTGAGACCAAAACTCTGCCACAGTAAACCGTATTGGGAAATCAATAGGTTTTCATTTTCTCGCGTCGACAACTGTGTTAAAAACAACGATTATAAAAATATCCGTAATCAAAACGATTCTTACCAGTAAACGTACGGGCCCACTTCCTCGACATGAATTTTTTCATCTTCACCAGACAGAAACCGTTCCGAATTGGTTATGTTGAACATATAAACATTAATGTAGAGTTTTACCGGTGGTTTCTGCCACAATTGATATAGAAACGACCCTTCTACAAATGTCAATTTCTGTTAAAAATACAAATAAACATTGTCAAGGCGCTGTTTTTTACTTGAATACATGTATTCCCATTACTCAGGAATAGTTAATCATTATCTAAGAAAATTATTACTACCTATGATTAAACTTTCTACTAAGTGTTCCTAAACTTAAACTTTAGATTAATGATACATTTGGGAGTGTAGATATTTTATCAGTGCAAAATACATCTACAGAAGAGTAAGCTGTAAAATAAAAATTAACTCGAATATTGTATCATTCAAACAGTTTTATTTAAATTTCATATAATTCATCATTGAATTTTCCAGCAGCAGCAACAAATATTAATCTAAATCATGTACTAAATAAATGTTTATTGTAAAAAAAATTGCTTATATAAACATGTTTATATAAACAACTTTCCATCTCTTAATTACATTCTTTTTGTTCAAGTATTTTTGCGTTGTACCAAAATAGAGTAAAACAAAAAAAGAAAATTAATTAAGTTGCTCGTTACTTTCAGATATTTACTATCACTTACTTTAATACAGATGTTTATCTTATTTATATTTAATACTAAATTAAAATATTTAATAAGCTTAATATAATAAACATGTGTTGTTTGTTTTGACTCGTAGAAAAACTATCCATGTATAATAATATCCTGTATTGTTTATTATAGAATATGTCTATTTTAAGTATATTATTTATTTAAACATTATTAGTAATATCAATTGATGTCAAAACTTCTGTGATGGATATGATTTTAACGAGCTATGTTCAAAACTGACGTTTTAAAGTTTTTAATACATATTAACAATATTTTAAGACACGAGAAAGTATTCTGGTTCTCTTCATTTTCATAGTTATCGAGCCCAATAGAGTGTAATTTAGCTTTTTCACTAAGATATTTTTTTGGAATTATTCTATTTAATGTTAAAAAAAATAAAATAAAAAAAACAGTTAAATAATTTTAAAGAAACTTATGGATGAACGCTCAATTCAACTAATAAATATTAATACAGATAATTATAATTACTAAAAAAACTTTACTCTATACATCGTTTATTAATAAAAAGTACCTAACTATTTAACAATTTTTCAATATAATTTTTTAACAAAAAATTATTTGTGTATAAGGGTGACCGACCCCAAGTAATTGGGATTAAGGCGAGGAAAAATAAGAAGACTGTTTAAAAAATTGGCTAACTAACTATTATTTTATATTTATATTTCTTTGCTATTTTTTTAAAAAATAATTTTATACGAAAATTTGTTTCAATTTAAAATACTGAGGGATTGAAATTAATGTTAAATTAGTAGATCCAAGTGTACAATCGAGAGAAGTTGCAGATGATAGAAAAAGATGGCGGAAAAATTGTTTGCAGGAATGGTCTTGAAAGCCGTAATCCATAAGAAGAAGAAGAAGAAGAAGTTTATATATATATATCTAATTTTACTCAGCCTCATTCAAATGTAAAATAAGTTTGAAGTATTAAAGAAAACTCGAGGTCGATCTATACTATATTAATTGATTATAAAAATGTTTGTACTCACAGCTGATTTAATGACTTCCACGGGATTGAAAAAATATAATGCATATGATAAGATAATTAGACTAAGACCAAACCCTCTGAACTTGGAGTTTCCTGAAATTATTAAAACATATTGTTAACATTAATAAACTTAGATAAAGCTCTTAAATAAAAGAAAGAAAAATCGGAACTACATATAAATTTATATATTTGTTCTCATTTTATGTTCCCCTACAATATATATTTGTAAATACAATGTAATACATATATTAAATAGATTGTCAATCCTTTGTTAATATAAAGATGTCCATTTGTCTCGTTGTACAGATCTACCCTCATAAAAAATATATCAATAACCGATCAGAAATTCATATTAAAACTATTTTTTGTTTTAATATTTCATTTTCTAATGATATTTTTTAACACAATGCAAATTATAACTACAATTAGTACTCATACATATTAGTGAATTATATTGTACGATAAAATTTATAAATAACTTACAAGAAATAAAAATAACTTAGGTAGTACTTTCATATAACATTAAAATATACAAATATTCATTCGAGTCATAAAAATAATTTCCGTTTTATCAAAATATTTTTTTCTATCATTAACTGATCAGTAATTTTAGTCAACTTAACGTCAANAAAATAATTTCCGTTTTATCAAAATATTTTTTTCTATCATTAACTGATCAGTCATTTTAGTCAACTTAACGTCAAAGTTTTTTTTTTTGGTATAATAATCGTTTTATGATATTTTTATATGAAGCAATACGAATTATATAACGGCATATTATATCAATTTATGATTCAGATAGTTTTGCCAAAATAATAAAATGATTTATTAGAATCATGTATAATATAAAGTCATATTAACAAAATTTTACTGAGTATCAAATTATAGACATAATACCTTAGTTGATAAATTTTTATTATTTCAGAAATAATAACAATTATTAAATGATATGCACAACTGTAATGTTTCTTTAAGAAAAAAATTAAAGTTATTATCATGAAAAAAAAATAGAAGTTTTGGAAAAATTGTGCAATATAAAAAATTATTTAAAAATTTGTCTAATCTGATATGTATTATATTTAGTATCATTAACTTTAAAAATTAACTAATTCTTATATGTTAATTGTAATATGTAGATTGAAATGACATGTTTTAATGACCAACAAGTTAACTGAAATTGAGTTTTATTTATTTGTTATATAAAAAGATAATTATTTCCCCTTTTTTATACATATTTTACGAATTTCAATTTTATGTAGGTTATAGCAATTCTTCAGGTAAGCTCTTTACCTTAATTAATCAAATCTATTGTATTTTTAGAATATTCTAGAATATTGTTTTAAAAAATTATAATCTCTATGAACGTCATGATTCTCTAAAAATTTTACTAATAATGAAATTTAAACACGTGATTCATATTTATTTTAAGTAATATTGATACAATATTGAAACAGTTTTCCTATCTAATATTTTGGTGGGAGATCACTTTCAAGGTGTTTGATTTGTTTAAATTGATTAAATGGAGTTAGGAATTCGATTAGCGTTGTAATAATGAAATAACATATTTTGAACTTCAAGTTACATTTAAAATTTTTAATTTATTCTAATGTACTAGACCCATATTAATTTAAAAAGCATAATTGTCATATAGCTTCCTAATAATACAACATAGAAAATTACTTAAATTGATATTATATAGATTAGCATATTTTTAATGATCATAAAAGTAATACTATTAAAGACTGTGATAATTAATTTAAAATTAATTACACATATTTTGAAGTAAAAACTTCTTTTGGGAGGTTCTGGATTTCATGGGAGTAAACTGGTGAAAAGAGTTAGCGACATTGACAAACTTAACGCAGCCACACTGACAATTGCAATTCAGTATAACTTTATACTTATTTTCTATATGTATATATATACGTGTAGGGGCACGCCTCAATGAAGTCTGTCATTTTTAAGTTTAATTTACACCAATAATCAATATTAATTAGTAGAAGTTTTCACTTTTGTCTACCGTCCCAAGATGATAATTTAGGTTGCTTTATATTTAAATTATTTACCTCAGTTTTTAAATAAACTTTTATGATTTAAATATCTAATCTTTCATCGTGTCACATATAAAATACATTTTATTGTAGCAACTTAACAGACAAATATTTTTACAAAAGTCTATATTAACAGCTGCGTTTAGCCACTCACTCTCCAAATTTACGAAATTAGAACATATACAGAATTAATTAATTTATCGTTAACTACATTTATCCTAAAATGGATAATGATTTTGAAAAAAAAATTGTTGATTTCCTTTAATATTTTTTATTTATATATTTAGAAATCTATCCCTAATATCTTATAAGGGTACCATTTTTATTTATTTTAATGATAACATTCATATTTAACTAGTTCATACAATAAAAAATGATACTACTATAAAAGAATACTAGTCGATATACATTTTTAACCAGTATTTCGGAAGTTACAAATAATTTTAAATGTAGACTTGAGGAGAGATGCGGGTAATATTGTTTTTTATAACTATGCATTTCTCTACTACGTTATTCCTCCCATACTGCTGTAAAAATATTTATTACTCCTGAAATATTAGATAAAAAATTGATATAAATCAGTCATTTCCTTGGATAATTTTTATTACATGAACTAGTTAAATAGCATATAAAATATATACGTTTCAATTTTAAAAAATCAAATAGGTACCCATTTTAGAGGCAAAATAAGAACATAAAAAGTATTTAATATAAATACTACTCAAATAAGTAAAAACAAAATCTAAAATATAATTATTATTTCATAAGATATCTGGTGGTCCACTGGCGTACGCATGGGGGGTTGGGGTTCAACCCCCCCAAAATTTATAAGCTAAGCGACAATTTTGGACGATAAACAATAAGAAATAATAATAAAAAATATCATATCATACTATAAATATTTCCACAATAAAGTAATCGAAAACAGGAATTTTCGTGAGCGAACAATATGGGCAGTGTCACATCTAATTTTCTTTAAATTTTAAAAAAAAAACCCCCAAAATTTAATTTCTGTATACGCCACTGTGATGGTCAACTATAAATCAATCATACTATTAAAACTTTTAACTTAAAAGTGATCTGATCCCACTTTCTCAAAATGATATTCTAGTTGAATTAGTTGTTGTATAAGAGTTAAATGTTGATTTATAACTTATGAGGGTAGTCATAAAAGGAAGATTTTCTGTTTTCTAGTAAATAAAATGTCTTCACTTATGCAATACAATGTATATTTCCCCTAAAGTCAAGACTTGGTGCCCAGTTATGATCACCGAATGCCAAAATTGAAAGAATATTTTTCTGAAATACGATGTAACTCAGTTTGAAAGAAAAAGATGAAATACAGTGCCTATTCGGTAATTTAACCGGCCACTAGGATGACACAGACACACAAAATTGCTATTGAAATAATGTATATATTGTGTAATTTAGATTAATATTTTATATACTAAACAACATAGAACCTTATTTTGCGATAAGCTTTTTTAAAAACTTAATAGTAAGAACGATTAAATCGTTCAACCTACTAAAAAAATGAAATATTCATGAAAGTTCGCTCAGAAAATTTTTNCTAATGCCAAAATTGAAAGAATATTTTTCTGAAATACGATGTAACTCAGTTTGAAAGAGAAAGATGAAATACAGTGCCTAGTCGGTAATTTAACCGGCCACTAGGATGACACAGACACACAAAATTGCTATTGAAATAATGTATATATTGTGTAATTTAGATTAATATTTTATATACTAAAAAACATAGGACCTTATTTTTGCGATAAGTTTTTTTAAAACTTAATAGTAAGAACGATTAAATCGTTCAACCTACTAAAAAAATGAAATATTCATGAAAGTTCGCTCAGAAAATTTTTTTTTTTAAGTACGATTAATGTTAAATTATACATCCATTAAATTTTAATGCATTAAGATTATGAATAAATTGCCAAAATAGATTTTCTAAGTAAAATTTTAGAGATTTTAAAAATATTTACATACAAAAATTATTTAAATTGAGATTTATGGGAGACATAAAAACCGCAAGTTATGTGGTGATACATAGTTTAATCTATTTGGTACTGAAAAAATAATTTATGATTATTTTATTAATATTGAAATATAATACTATATTTAATTATTTATTCAAGTTTTTATCAGTCACGCTTCCTTGCTGCTGATTATATTTATTTTTAATTTTCATGCAAGCAAATTTTCAATTAAAATATAATACTATAATTTTCGATATTTATAACAATCTCATACAAAATTAATATCATCCATTTTGAAAAATGAACAATTGATTTAAGACGGACGTTGAATTTAGAACCATTAGTTACATAGAAATGCACATTGCAAGAAATATATGTAGAAATTAATCGACCTTGAAGACGTCAAATATTTGGGACGGTATTAAAATGCATCACGCGTTTTGTATATCTCAAGTAAAACCCTCTCATGGCCCAAGTGTAGTAATACTAAACTTTATTGTTATAGTTTTATTAGTTGTGACTGAAACCGATCGGCACCTACACAGATTAACAGTCCACATAAAAAACAAAGCCTATCAGTAAACTTGGTAAACATTAACGACTAGACATAAAACTTGTAAAACATACATATTAGTAACAACTAGTGACTTTTGTCAACAGTATTTATATCGCAGAAACATATGTAATAGATAAACCATATCATTATACAGATTTTATTATATCAACGATTACAATAATTTCTACTAAAAATGTTCAATTGTATTGATATTGCTAACAAGTTATTAAAATCGTGAGACAAAAAATTTTGATTATCAACAATGGTATTCTAAGGACTTTGTTGTCCTAGGTATGCATATAGATGTTTCAAAACAAAACCCATAGCGTTATTAAGTTATTTGATATTAACTATTAAACATTTAAGAGAAGTGTAATACTGCGAAAATGATCACCTTTAATAATCGGACACTTATGTTCAGAATAAAATTCGATGACGACTTAAAACTACTTCACGTGATTGACTTTTATTTTTGCTTTAGGTATTTGAAAAATCCATTTTTAGTAAACATCAATAAAATACAATGTTTACAAAAAATAGGTCCAAATGTAAACACCGAAATGTATTGTAATATGCAATGATTACTTGACGATAACAATATAACGTTATGCATTGAGCTTTGATATACTGATTATTTGATTAGTCTTTTAATATTTGCCTAGTAAGCTAACAGTCATCGTGTTGAGTTCATTTTCCTCGGTTAATTTGTAATTGATTACTCTATCACCCACCATAATTGCTAGAACATTATTGTAGAGCCGGTCAATAAAGTGCTTATTTCCGCTGAACCTTGTTCGAAAGATATGACTTCAAGTTCATTAACATAACATTACGCGTTCATATTTAAAGTTCAATACTAATTTTTATTATCATCCATCCAGATACAATAGATAAATATTTAAAAAAGACTCGTCATAACTCAAAACGATAACACCCAAAAGTCAGTAGAGAGGTTTAAAAATTATAGTAAAGGTCGATGTGTTCGACATATGTAGAAACTCATAGTCAAGTAATTTCAGTAAACTTCCACAAATCGTAACTAAACATAATTTAAACTATTTCGCAATTGTATACTTCGTGCAAAAAACTTTCCGCATTCGAACACATAAAACTTATTATATCACAAAAGGAATATTTGGTAATGTGGAACGACCGTTGTTTAATTCAAAATACTTTTTGATAAGTGTGGAACTAATTTAAATAAAAAAGAAACATTTGATGATTTGCTTAACGGATATATTTTAAAATTGACAAAGTATTTATTGAATATCACATGTAAATTCAAATGGTCTTCATGAAACGCTATGTTATCATTAAAAACGTCAGGTTTACAAAAAGTGCTAAGGGAATTTGTTGACATTTCGTTTTGTATAAACTGACAGTATTACAAGTGTCCGTGTTTTACGAGGCACACAAATTTACATCTATGATATATTTTCATTATTTTTATGGTTTTCCCATTTAATCATAATGAAAGTATTTTTCATTGTAATATTTCAAAAACTTGCATTTTCAGAGAAATAAATAATACTCCCAAGTTATCATTCAGGTCGTTTAAAAATGACGAAATTATCGATTAATTTCCAGCTGTCCTTAATTGAACCCAAAGTACTATTATGTTATTATATTAAAAAAAACTTTGGATGTTGAAGGAAGAAGAGGTAGAGGAAGATCAAAAAAGAGGTGGAGGGATGCTATTGAATACGATATGAGCACAGCTGATGTGAGCGTAGATGATATGGGAGATCGTGTCAAGTGGAAGTTTAGGATAAGAGTGGCCGACCCCAAGTAGTTGGGATTAAGGCGAGGAAGAAGAAGAAGAAGAAGAAGAAGATATTAAAAAAAACTATCAATCAAATGATACACATTTTTTTGTTTGTAGCCTTTTTTTACAAATCGTCAACAAGTTTATAACACTAAGTTAATTATTTTTTTATTTCAGGAAATAAAGGGCTACAGCTACAGCTAATATTATCAAAATTAAAAGACAGTATTTTGTAAGGTTGAATTTTTCTTTAACATATTTACTTAAATACGACTTTTATTTAAATATAACTTAAGCAGTCAATCAGAAATAAAGATATAAAATCATTAAATTTAATCATTTTTAAGTAAAATAACTATAATATAGTTCTATATTACAGTTGGTAGTTATGTTATATAGTTAACTGTAGCACAAATCTGATATTTTTCAAGACCATGACTTTAACTATGTAAAAAGAGTTTTTTTCGAAAAACACAAGCGATTTCATAGATATTTTTGTTAAATCTTTGTTATTCTACTAAGAATTATTGTCTTTTGAATCGCGTAAATACAAAATATACGTCATAGAAACAATAATTATCAATATTTAAGCATTATCACACGTGTTTTTTTAACAACTAATAAATTGAACTTTTTAATACTAACTGTCAAATATCAAACGAGTAGCTAAAATTATCAAATTGTACTGACATAATATAATTTATTTCGTACACATATGAAAAAATATTATGTAAAGAAATTTTATTAAACAATGGCGCTTGTTTAGCGTTCTATGTTTTAATTCATTACGTTTTATAAAAAGTAACGTAAGAGGTCTATTTATGTTATCACTGCCTTGAGTGTAACATATTTTTAATATATTTTATGCCCCTAAAAAATTTTAATTTAAAAAAGATCCATACAAAAGATGTTAAAATAAATGAAAAGTTGAATTGATTTTTTACTACAGCTTAGAACTAGAATCGCACACTTGATTTATACATAATAGTAAATACACATCTAAGCTTCGTTTTCTTGCATTTTTCTTAACTATTTATTAGCAACTCGTTATGACTTACCACTATAAAAGGTTTACTTGTAAAAATTTTACTTTAAAAAATATTAAGTCAATCATTTTTATGGGTGTCAAAATCATAAATACGGCTCTAATGAACAGAATACTTACCGAATATTAAGATTCGGTGTCGCATTTCATCGAAGTAGATTACTTTTGGAAAATTCTCATATATCGCCTATTTCCAAGGACGAGAACTTGCCGTGATAATTTTTTCCTTCGATAAGAAGGTATACCATTAACAAATTTGAAACAGTTTAATGAGGTAAAAACACAAGAAAAATAAATGAGTAATCAAAGCCAATTGTATTCAAACTGCACTGTCGATGAATCGAAGTTATTGAAAATTTATGTACTAAAAAAAGAAATATTTTTAAACAAGTAAAAGTAATCGAATAGATTATCCACGTGGGTAATAAATCTGGAAAGCAAATTATGTGCTTCGGTCTCAAAGACAATATATCGACTGACTGAGTGGCGGTGACAAAATTTCAATCAGTATCATTCTTACAATGATTACAATTATATTATTACTGTATTATTATTTAGCGATGCACGCCAGTAGTATAAACAGTAGTACCGACGACGTGCCAATGCCTTCTGACCTTCGTCTAAGAGAGAGAGGGATCTGTGAGAGGATTTCGTGTACTGCACCGATAATGTAATGATTATAACGATTACTATAATGTAATTCATTATGCTCTATCTGTACAAGACTAAAATTTCTATAGTTTCATTGGAAAAAAATAATAGTATAGATAATAATTAGGTTTTGCAAATAGAAATTTATCCAATCGACACAAACGTATGTTGTGGTATAATTATAATTANTTATTATGCTCTATCTGTACAAGACTAAAATTTCTATAGTTTCATTGGAAAAAAAAATAGTATAGATAATAATTAGGTTTTGCAAATAGAAATTTATCCAATCGACACAAACGTATGTTGTGGTATAATTATAATTACACCGATAAGTTTATCGGGTGTGTAATGATTTTTGACAATATGTCGATGGACACATTTTCCTAAATCAATATTATCCGAAATATATTGCAGTATTTCACCCTTTTTTTAGTCCTATAATGACCATACAATTTAACATTAAGTATATCAATTATTAATTAGAGGAGAGTAACTAAAATTTTCACGAAAATTTCACACCACACAACATAACAAATTATTAAAATTTACTTGAGAGCTTATCAACATGACAAAAGCATTCAATTAAATTATTTTTACATTCTTAGATAAAACTATATTTTTTATAATTTTCCAATAATTCAATGACAGAAAATAAGTTCGATAATCTCAAAATAATCTTTTATTGATCCACGTGAGAAATGAAGATCATCATATGTAATTATAATGATCATTTTGCTTGAAATTTTTCAAAAGTTGCACAACTGTTTAAATAAAAATATTAAATAAAACATTAAAACATATTATTATTAAATAATAATTACTAATCGCGTTTAAATGGAAATTTAAACAAGCAACATTGTCTGTTTAAACTTAAAATTTAATTTTTTTCTTAAAACATTAGTTTGACAAATTATTATTTTTTAAGTTTAATTAAAATTAAAATTTAGAATTTTATAACTCTCATTACACTGCCATGTCCGGGTGTTATATTGTTACCAGAGGGTTTATCTTTTCATTTACAAGCTAAAAATAATTTGTTTAAATATCTACCCCTTTATTTGAAATAATAAACAAAAAAAGTTATCGAAAGGTTACCCGGTAACTTGTTTTGATAGCTGTTTATGGAAGAACTCCTCCACAAACACCTAAATTCTACCATTGTAGTTATCATTGAATAATTCATTTTTAATTTTTTTTCGAAATTTATAATAAAATTAGGCCCAATCACTATTTTTATAAATTTTCAGTCCGACAGTAAGCCTATCTCAATATTTATAAACATTGCACTTATATCCTTTAAATTATTAACAACTGGCTGGCACGAAAATTTCAAGGAGCATAATAAAATTTATGTATAACATTACATATAATTTTTTATGACTGTATCAGAGTTTTCAAAAGTTACGCTTGAGTAGGTAAGGACATTGTTTAGTATTAGTGCATTAATTGATTCCAAGCTCGACTGATAATTGAAGTCTACGCACGATTATATATGTATAAATATTTAAAGCTTTTAAGATACGCTTACTGTATTGTATTTATAAACATTTTATACAATCTTAAGTAAAACTATATTTCATTTGAATTCATCATTCTAATACTTAAATCGAACTTTTACCGTGACATTTAAAAAGTGAACTATTGTAAGAATCTGTTATTTAATTTTAGATTTCATCTATTTAGTATGTGCAATATACATAGAAATAGTAAGAAATTAATATTTCAAAAAGAGTGTAGGGTGGCAACAAATAGCTAATATAATGAATATTTTTGATACCAATAAACTTTGCTCAAATAGTTATTTATTATTGACGTTATACACTATGCCAAGACCCTATAAGTTTAACTGTTCATAATAGAAGACTATGTAAGAACGTGAGCATTCAGATTACCTAAACAGAATTACAATTATTAAGCGGCACGTCTAAGTTGTACTCCTTCACCATGATGTGTATAAATCGATGCAGTAATGTGTCATCATCGAAGCCAATATTACTATTGCCTACTTCTGCGATCCACTGATATTATTGTAAAGGATTGCGCAGCCTTAACGACGTGCTATAGTTAAAGCGCTGATTCCGACAATGGCGCAATGGTAGAACTGAATAAATATCCAATTTAATGATTAATTTATGATGAAACTATTTTAGTACCGAGAAACAAATTGGAAGTACTGTATTATATTTCAATACTTCAAAAATATTAAAACAACTAGTAAAAGAGTACTTTAAGCATGCCAAGTAAGTAACAACCTTGGCGGATGAATAGCTACCCAAAAAATCTAATATGTACAGACTAATCAGTTTATCACCCGGTGTTAATTTTTATAAATACAATATTAGGGGGAAAATGTTGGTTTTATAGTTACATATATTTCTTGATTTTTCTCCTATACATTACTTCGTATAAATATATATGAATAAAATTTTAAATATCTTTGAAAAAAAAATGATCAGCATTTTTAAAAAAATATACATTTGTCAACATTATTTATCACCTAAGAGTTATTTATTCAATCTACTATTTTAATTCATATTTTAGATTCAAAATTTAAAATGTGTGCAGTTCAAATTTGGTTTATTAGATATTATTTATTCTACTACATGACAGAAAGAAAGTTATTAATGTTCTTTAAGTTTAATTTAGTATAATTAAATAGTTTAAATCAACACTCGTGTACTATAAATTGAAGGAATAAATAAGTTTGGACTTAATTTAAAATATTTTACAAAATAAAGACTTTTTATCTCTTTAAATAAAATAAAATATATCATACGTCAATGTAAAAAGTTAGTAATTACAAAATATTAAATTTAAAGACAATTCAAATAGGAATCGTTTTTTATTTTAAACAATTGTAAGTATATAAAGAATTTGTGTTAATTTATAAAGGATAAGTAACATTCTAATAAATATTTATTTTAATTTTTCTTAGTAAAACTCAATTTGGTTTTGATTTTTGAACAAATGAATATGAAGGGTATATATTTCATTATTGTCATGGTGATTAAATGTTCTACTGGATCAACAATAGAAGATTTGAATTTATTGATGAATACCTCTGCATGGCAATATGTCATGGATAATACTGTAGATGACATTTGTGAAGGTACGACAACGACTTTTGAACTGTTTCAAAAAGCGATGAATACTTCAGATAATGAAGATAAAATTAATTACGCTTTCCAAGTAGGGCAACACGAGATAATGTCTCGAGTCTACAAATATGCTTATTTTCAAACTTACTATAGTATAGAAGCTTTTCAAAAAATAGCTGATAAAGAATATATTTTACAAACATTATTAGAGGGTTTAATTCTAATGAAATATTTTCTGAAAAAATTAAAAATTAGAAGTCATAAAGAGTTCGGAAATTTTATTAATTATTTGAAGTCATCTTATGAAGACGACGTTATGAATATATTACAAAATATGTTAAATCATTTTTTAGAAACTATCCTACCATCTATAAACCTTGAAAATAATAATATTTGGTGCTGTTCAAATATATTTCAAATGTCAAGAACATCAAACTATAATAGTAGATGTATTGAAATATATGAAATAATTCGAAGTACATTAAATGGATTTCCTAACTATAGCACAGAAGATCAAACATATGCATTTGATAAAATATTTTATAACAATTTTACAGAACCAGATTTAATCTATGGTATTCAACAGATTCATGGACTTATTTGTTACGAATTCAAAATTGAGTGATTAATGCAATAAATTTAATTATTTATAAATTAGAAAAATAAAGTTATTAATAAGTAAAATTCTTGGAAAAACCGCGTACTGAAGAACTATCACATTATTTTCAGCACTCAATAAATACTGACAAATATCAATCATATTTTCACATGTTTTAGAAAATAAGTATTTAAATAGTTAACTAAAACGTCGTTTTTTAATTATATTACCATAGCTTTACGCTTTACAAACAATAAAACACCTGAATAATTAAAAAAAGACTTTAACTTTTTAAGATCAAAAACGTCTTCTATATCTCTTCCAATAATATTTATTAATAAAACTAAAAGAATAATTTCCAAAATAAATTTAAGAATAAATAATCTTTATATTACAAATAGGAAAATATTCAATATTACCCAAAAATTAATTTTATTTTCCACCTATTTCATCTCCATAATTTTTAATTACATTGATTGTAAATAGAATTTATTTTTCATAAATTATGGAATATACTAATTGTACTATAATAATATAGTGTTATTATTAATATGTTGTTATACGAGTCGCAATAAAATTATATTGACAATTTAATAATCATATTAAACGTAACATTTTTGATGTTTATTTTAGTAAAAAATAAAATAATTGAATCATAAGAATATAAAACTTAAATAAGATATCAGATGCGAACTGCGCAATTTTTCTACAAAATACAACATAATTAAACGGTTTAAGACTTAGAATAATGAACTTTTTATTCGACCACATCTGATCATAATGATATTAAATTTACTTTTAGCGGAATTGCAGACCAATAAAAATTGGGTAGTATGTTAGTATTACAAATTTAATTTGTTTATTCATTCAACGTTTTTATGAAAATCCATTCTTCTACCTTATTTTAATCCTTTTTACCTTAACTTTCTAAGAATAATTCTACGAAAAAATTTTGGAATGTAAGGTAAAGTAAATATTTGCTCTTAAGTTAAATTTGTTGGCTTAAAAAAATGATTGATAATTAATCATTAATTGAAATTTTAGGTCTGGATTCTCTTTCCATTCCCATTTTTTCGTATTTCTTATTTAATGCTTACTAAAAATACTCGAAAAACTGCAAACAAAATTGTTCTCTGAAGTTTTATAAAATAAATATATTATACAATACATTTTTCTGATATACAATAATTTGTTGAAAGTCCAGAAGTGTATAATGTAATCATAGTGTTACCTAATTTTACTCTATTTGATCTAAAAAATATTTCGTTAGGTTCACAACAAAACAGCATTATAGACCACTGTTTTTTAATAATAATTTAACTGCGGTAATATTTCCTTGAAATATTTAGTTTTTACGCTATTATCATGCTATTTATTTATACTATTATATGATTTATGTAAAATAATTTTAATATCAATTAAATTTATTCATGAATTCAGTTATAATTTAAACATCGAAATACTACGAAGAAATGTTTACAAAATTATTTAATCTGCATACATATTTAAACGATGAATGCGTTTATTAAATTAAATAATATAACTACATATGTAATCGTTTGTTTTATAAATTATTATTATTATACAATGAGTTTATTGATTTGAAGTCATACAATATTTTTTATTATACATACTTATATATTGTGCAGTATTCTGAAATTCATCTTATACCTTTCACGTCTCAAAATATTTACATTTAAAAGAAAAGTGATACACAAGATGGTAAAAATGTTAAATTTTTAGTGACTCAACGAAAACTGAAATTAATAATCAGCTAGCATTTAACAAACATGTAGTCACATTATTAAAAATGTAGCGATATTTTAACAAAGCGTTACATAAAACCTATGTAAAATTTGTTATTATCCACCAAAATAGGAAAAGTGTATAGACCATAAGTGTCGACCTGGTCATGTTTAATTAAATTTAATTTAACATTAATTATGCTTTAATTTAACATATGTTTAAAACTCTGAGTATATACGAAATATTTTTAAAAGTTACTTTGAATCAGAAAATAAATTACCTTAAGTATTTATAAAAAAAAATTGTTTTAATTCATTTATTTTTAAATAAGTTATGACAATTTTACGTAAAAAATGTCAAAATTTATCGATTTTAAAAAAAGGACATTTTTGGAATTTCCATTATTTACAAGGAACAAGGAGAAAATGTTTAATTTTTGAGGGTAATATCTTCAACTAGATATGATTTGTGATCTTTTTACGTATTGTTAAAAAAATCAGTCCAGTGAGAACTGAGAAAAAGTCGTGACAGACACAAAAAAATAATAATTACATATCATGGTAAAAATAATGCCTTCTCAGGTTCGCATCGAAGCTAAAAGATTCTTTGTTGAATATATCAGGGCTATATTATCTATGTTTATATGTATAATATATATATGTTTTAAACACTGCGTATTTAAATGGTTATCAAGAGTATCATTGAAGGTGTCGAATTTATGGGTACTTGTGAAAGCTTAGTACTTATTTTAAAAATTAATCGCCTATTTCAACAAAAGTCAAATAATGATAATGTTATAATTATATCATAATGCTAAATTTAAAAATGTTTAAGGGAAAATTAAATTTACCTTCCAGAATGTTTCTAGTTGCACTTATAGAAATATATGTTGCACCGTTAATCGTTTGGAAAAAAGTACATAAAAATTATGAAGTTGTTTCAGTAAGCTCTTTAATAATACATATCTATTGCAAAAAATTCTATTGACCAAATCTTAAATGTTTTCTTTAAATATGACTATAGTCATATTGAAAGACAACATTGGCAAGTATATTTTTTATACGAATGGCAGAGTTTATTTATTCTTTGTTTATACACACCTTCATCCATCAATTAATAGTTCAAATAACTATTTGAACTGTATTTAATTATAATTAAATACATATTACTAAAAATAAACCTAATCAAAAAAATAAGAAGGTTCTAATGTACGCAGTGTTTCATGATTAATACGCTTTTTCACATAATATGTAAAAGCATGCCAAATTATGTTAAGCACTAATCAAATAACAACTTAAAAATGTACTTAGATTTTTCGTAAATATGATACGTATTGATCGCCTTCAATTCTTGCTATATATACCCAATTAAAGTATTTTTTTATTGTTTATTGTAATTAAAAATGTATTTTACCTTCAGTAGAATTATTCCTCACATTTTTAGCCGAAATATGAATTTTAATTAAAACCTCAAAATGCATACATACATTTTCGAGATTCTCAAATTTTAATCAAGTATATAATATACTTCAACAATATTGTTAAAATGAAATGTAGTTATGAAAACAACATAGACAATTACTCGTGCAAAATAACATTAATACTCCGGGTACTCCAGGGATAAAATATATATTATAAATCCATATTTGTTTTGGTACTTATTCTTACCTCTAAATTAAAATAATCGATGTAAATTGTAATACCTTCTTTACATTTATTTGATTTTTTTTTTTTTTTTTTGAGATACCTATTATAGAATATTAAAATGGTATAGTAAATTTTCTTGTTTATTGATATAGAGTTTGATAAATCAAATTCTATTGTAACATTTCATTCAACCCAAACCTGTTAACACTTAATATTGTTGATATTTTTTCATTCGTAGAGGTAAATGACTGGATATTTCATTATAATGCAAGTGTGCTAATCAAGAGATCATAGACAATTAAATTAATTAAAACGTAGTTGTAATACATTGATAATTAAAACAATTTGCGAAAAGGTCAGAAAAATAAAAAACCGGTAACTTCACCGTTCAATTAAGTCGGAAATTGAAAAACTCAGATAATAACAGGAATTCAATCGGACTTTGCAACGAAGGGCATGAATGCGACGGCCTTGTCTTTTATTACCAATGTAATAAACCGAAGACAAAATTTAAAATGTGACTTTATCGGCGATCCAAATGGTACGTTTAAAAAGAGATTTATGACCTCGGTGAAACATAACTTACCAACAGTTAACATTTATGAGTAATAAACTTTGTTTATATCATCCAACAAGATATATCATAACTACATAAACATGTCAGTATGAGTATCATTTTAAATTTAATATCTATTTGAAAAAATATAGCCAGTTTTTCATAGACTTTGAAATTGTTTTTATTAACATATCATGTGTTACTGCGTCACGCATGCAACGCAATTCAGACCAGCAAAACGAATCACTTGCAATTAGACCATCGTTTAAGTGTAGTCTACCGGCTTATTAGTGGCCGTTCATGATTATGTCCTTTGTCAGTAATAAATTTCGTTTTCAAACGTCATTACAGAATAGATTTACTGCTTGCTTTACATGCAGTAATGGACGCGGAAATAAAAACAGTAAAAGTGTTAACAAAATTTGACGAACGAGTAAATTTTCCGTTTGGCACCCAGTCGTTGACCTTATGAATAAATAACAATAAAAATAACAACTTATTACAGACAGTCGGCAGACGTAAAGGAATCAGATTCCCGGCAGTGATCTTTACAATAATTAACCTTGCTAGTTAAGTAACATGTATCGATAGATGAGTAGATGTCTATTGTTCTAGAAGACACGCTCACGTTAAAAAAAATCGTTAAAAAACGCTAAAATAAAAAAGTATTGTCCTCGTAGTTTACACAATTGACTTCCTCTGCTGTTATTTAAAGAAAAGAAAATTTATATGGAAACCACAAAATTATTATTTTAACTTCATTAAAAATGCAAATGATAGTTATTATTATCCATAAAATCACCATATTGAATAATCATTTAAATNATCACAAAAATAATAATTATTATTTTAACTTCATTAAAAATGCAAATGATAGTTATTATTATCCATAAAATCACCATATTGAATAATCATTTAAATTTGTATACGTATGTTATAAAAAATATAACTAATATTTATTAGTAGAATTTTCAGAAAATAATATCTAGTAGATCTAAACTGATTTTTGTAAATTATATTCGTTATTGAAACATTTTTTTTTTTCTGAAAACTACAGACATCTTTTTCAATTAAAAAGAGAAATTTTTTGGAGATCTAATGAATACATCATTTTGGCAGAACGCTTGCATACTATTGATTCATGTATTTTTTAAATAAAATTCTTATAACAAAAGTCTGTTCTGAAAATTAAACTTAAAAAATTTAATTTTAATTTTAGATAAAATAATTGAACAAGTTCCTTTATAAAAAATATTGATAATGCCACTGTTACACACTATTTTATTCATTTCGATGTTTTAAGAGTATAATTAATTATAAGAACATTTCGTTTCATTAAAAATATAGCATAATTTTTTAGATTAAATCAAACACGAATTCATGATCAATACTTTACCTAAGTACTACCATTATTATTATGNACGGATTCATGATCAATACAGTACCTAAGTACTACCATTATTATTATGGTATAGATGTATCATGGGCATTAGTCGAGTCAATAACATTAGTATTGAAACAACCAACACCAATTTTACATTAACGTCTTTTAACAAATTTTTTTTTTAAAGAAAAAAAATT